TTCTGCAAACGCAACAGCATTTTTAACCTTAGCTTTCAGCACTCTTAATATGGGTTCAACGTTGAGCAGACTGTTACCTGCTCTTAGGTCAAAACTTAAGATTCTGCCTAATGAAGGCACATTTAAATCTTTAAAAAAAAGGATTTATGTCTGTAGGCTAACATCTACAGTTCTAAACGTGTCTTGTTATAGAATACTTTGTAGCAAGAGGAGAATAGTTTATAGTAAGAGTACAAAGCTCACTTGTTTTGTTCCTGCATTATGTCAAGTCTGCCATTGCAGGAAAGCAGTTGAAAAGAGCTTAGATTTTTGATAGTTTGTGGACTGCATGCTTAAATTGTAGTTGGATCTTTTCTGCCAGTTTTTCTGTTTGATCATTAATAAATGGTTTGGAGGTTGCTAAGGTGTCCTGTCCCTATTCCCAGGATTTCTGTCTAAACTAAGTGTGGGAGGAATATTTTAAAATTGTGTTGCCGTAAAAATCTTGCAAATCACAACCATAAATCACATCATGACTCTTTGAATCCTGGATTTCCAGTCTGAATCAAATCAGCACAGGTTCATGTGGTCTACTGGTGCTAATTATCATGTTTCAACATTTGCTTGGAGATTGGTTACAAAATTCTGCCAACTGCTACTTGCTGTTTATCCTGCTGTTTTCTCATAGTAGGCCATTTTTTGTCACAACAACACAGGGATGCAATGCCCTTAAGAATGAATTCTGCTTTACAGAACAGAAGCAAACCATTATCTTTAAAGTTTAAACAATATTTCAGTGATCTAGAGTGCATATCAATGATATTATTGCCCCAGAGAAAGGTTGCAGATGAGAAACCTTAAGGTGCTTTCTTTTTAATGTACAGACATGGTTTGTGTCTCTTCCCAGAATTAAACAGAATTTTAACAAATTTATATTTAATTAACTTGCCAGTGAATCTTATATGTATTTATTCTGTAATTCCCACTAGGTTGAATGGGATTCACTTTTATTAAAACTGAATAAAAATAAGCCATTTCTTACATCTTCCAGGCACACTGCAATCAGCTTTTCGACAAGCACTCAAATTTACCTGTTGTATATAAATCATTAGGTGAATTATCATTGCTTCCCTACTTACAGCTTCTGGTCTGAGCAAATCCATTATTAATCATAATATTCTATAAGCAACCTGCCGAGTCTGTTTACAGTGTTAGATGGTGTGTAATAAAAACACATTCCCACATGTTTTCTGCATCAAGGCATCTTAAAGTAATTTGTAATAGTTTCAGAATGGTTTCAGTATCAGTGTTAATATTACGAGAGGCATATGATTTAAATCTGCCTATTTGTATGCAATGACTAGAGTTACAGACAAATGTGCCTTTCTTAGGGAACAGAAATCACCTGCCTTACATCTCATGAGAACAAGTTGGCGTCTGCAGTTAGCACTTCAGCAGATATATATAAAACAATCTGAGAAGCTTAACTTTACTTTAGTCTGACTTCCTTGAGCTGTAAGGGCTACAGGATAGGATGGATTCATGGGAAACAAAGTTTGGTTAACAAGACCCTTAAAGTATATAGTCTCTTCTTTGCCTATGTGTTCTGAATACAACTGGCAAAACAGCTCAACAACATCTGTAATTAAAGAAGCTGAGAACACAACCATAATCATAGCAGCCGAGTCATAGATAATGGCTTTTTCTTCAAGAGACTGTTGGTCTCTGCAACAACAAAGACAAAATTATTATGGCAATTCCTTCTCATACAGGAAATACATCTGTCATGGACAAAATGTGCAGAACAGAGAAATGTCTTTTGCATTAGGACTATTATTATGACTATGGTGGTATTTGTCTTAGTACCTAGCATTGTAAATAAGAGTTTTGTGTTCAGGATGATAAGCTGAAGAATAACTGGACAATGGGTTGAGTTCTAGAATTTCCTTCAACATCTCTTTTTTTATACACATAACTTTTATTGATAATTTTAACATCAACAATAAGAACTAATGCAAATTAAAATTGAGCTGTGAAAGTGAAAAGAGAACAATAAGAGAAAAAGTTAAAAGTGCAATGAGAAAAAGGACAGAACAAAGTAAATGTGAAACTGTTACTGAGCCTTGAGTTCAGCTACTCTTCCTGTCTGTCTTCTGCCATCTGTTCTCTTGTTAAGGCTGATTAATCATTTTCAGTAAAAGAGAAAAAAGGCTCACCCATTTCATTGAAGCAGTCTTCAAAAAAAAAAAAAGAGAGAAGATATTTTTTTAAAAAAAAAATGACATAAAAATGCTTAATGTGTCCACTTGAAAATCCGCTTGAAAATATACATATGAATCAAAATGTAGAAAATAACAAAAGGGAATATTATAGTTTCTGTGAGATTGATACCACTGTCAATATGTATATCCCAACTGATAATTATAAAATCTATTTTGTAGCCAATTTTGTTGTATCATTCAATTAATTTATATGGTGCCACTCCCAAATTAAGGTTGTATATGTATACACACTCACATTAAAACCATACAATCATCAGCTGAAAAAAAAAAGTGAAAACATAGGTAGGAAAGCAGCATGTTGGGAATACCATATTATTTCAACATGGCTATAGAACCTCCAATTTCAATCCTTGATTATCATACCTGGAGCTACTTCCAAATAAAATAGTATTGAGATGAACAGATATGCCCCAGTCCTAGATTTTGTTCCTTCATATTGGATCAAATTAATTCAAAATGTCAAAGGGAGCTTGATTGGTTTTAATAGGCTATAATATCTATCTTGATCTAAGAATAGGAAAACCAGAATACTTAATCATGATTTTCAGGGTCAGCAATACTCAAAGTGCATCAGAAACATCTACTATTCTTACCAGTATTTCCCATACTTTCCATTATAATGTTGGCATTCCTGTTCCTATACTGAGTTAGAAATGAGCAAATTCTCTCTGTCTATAACTATATGTAACTAGCTATCTAACTATTTCACTTTCTATCTCTCTCTGAGAAAGACACAGAGAAAGAGTTTTGCACCATTTCATCTTACAGAATGATGTGAAAGCAATGGGCTTCCAGGAGCCAAGTCGCAATTAAGATTTCAGTTGGGCCTTGTGACTGAGCTTTGGGAACAATCAAGTTCCTGGAATCCTTCTGGATCCAATAATCACTTGGGAGGACAAATCAAATCCATTCTTTCTTCCTGCATAGTGGAGTTAGCTACAGAGAACTGTTAAACTAGGAGGGCAGAAAGTTAGGAAGAAGTGATCTGTCCATGACAAGAGATGCATGTTAGTTTTCTCTAACTTCAGATCATATTCCCATTGCCTTGAAACAAATACCAAATCTAGTGAATGATCTCCTTCCCAATATATCTTAATCAAATCCATGGTTGCTATGGTGGTCATAAACTTCCAAGTCACTGCTGACCCATAGTCATAGACAAAGTAGATTGCCATTTCCGAACCACTGGTTGAAATAGTACAGACAAGGAAAGTGCTAGACAGCAGGAATGCTGGTACAATATTGCAATCCCAACTGATCCCCTTTGTTGAATCCTTGGTTAATGGCAATGACTTCACGAAGCATCTTGTAATTTCAGGAGCTCTTTATTTGTTGTTCTGTAGCCCCGTTACAACTCTGACGTATGCAAACTTCTCAGCCTCTCTTAAAGACAATCCCCAGGCCAAAAAAGCAACATTTAGGCGCGCTGCACACCTTGCGCATGCGCGCGAGCGCCGGCGCCAGCCAGTCTGGTCCCGGGCAGCTTGCAACTGCCCGGGACCGTTGTAACGTCCCGAGCCTGCCTTTGCAGGCTTGGGACACAACACCCCTTCCCCCCCGGCTAAGACCACAACTATATGAATAGTTACACGCGACCCCAACACGAGCGTGGTGTGTCAACCCCTGCTCCACTGGTGCCAGGCTATAATTTTGGGGATTAATTCCCCAGTGTCCCTATTTCCAACTTTCCACAGAAACACCCTCTTACTGTTTCTGCTTTGCCAGCAGAGTTACAAAATCTTCAAGATATTTGGGAGATCTCTTAGCTCTCTGTGATCTTCGTAGGCCCTGATACTCTCCAAGTACATCTTGTCCAGGGGATGATATGGGTTCGCCCCCTTTCTCAGACCCTGGTGGTCCCCATGGACTGTGCCCCATTGCCTGGCCCGCTTGCTTGCCCACCGGGCTCGTCAGACCAAGACTTTGTTTTCTCCATAACCTGGTTGACCTGTCTAGTTGCAGGCTCTCTGGCCCCTCTAGAAGGCTGCCACTGTTGGGCAACTCTGTAGAGCCTCCCAGGGCCACACTGGACCTATCATGAGGCTGCCTTCCTCCACTCCCCAGTTCCATAGTAGGACTGTCTGGGATTTCAGTACTGTCCCAAAACTCAGTTGCCCCCTCCGTTATGCCAGAGGTGTCAGAATTGGGATTTGCCCCTCCGACCACCTCCCTGCATGAATGTTCCTTTCTGGGAACAGTGGCAGTGTTGGGCCAACTAGACTGATTGTGTGCCAGCTCTCTTGCAATGTTTGAGTTATTACGATGCTCCCGGTTATTCCCCCTGACTGGAGTGCTGAATGGTGTTAGTGGGTAATGATTATGCCCCCGGTGTGACTCCCTGACTGGAGTAGGCACTGGTGCCTGTGTGCTAGCTGGTTCCCACGAATTCCTGTTCGGAACACTCACGGAATCTTGTGATAGGCTGTCTGTTGCCTCTCTGTTTGTGCCTGGCTGCTGCCAACACCCCTTCCTTTGCCCATAGAGGTCCCCCTCCCCCCCTGGAAAAGACCCAGGAGTCTCTAAAGGTAAGTCCAGTCTTGTACGCAGCTGGTCGATGTGCCGTGGCAGGATACGACCGTCATCCAAGGAGACCTTGTATGACAAGGGACCTGTAACCTTTCATACTACAGCAGGAACCCACAAGTGACCAGGCCCATAGTTACGGGTCCATACCGGGGCACCCACTAGCAATTGCCTCGGTGCCCTGGGTTGTGTAAACTTAGGAGGCAGTCTGTCCGGATGCAACCGGTCAAGTTTAGTAGTTAGTTTGCACCCCCAGCGAAGTTCAGCTGGGCTTCTCCCCGTAGAAGTTGAGGGTGTGGTGCGGTAAGCAAGAAGAAAATCAGCCAACCTGTGGTGCCAGTCCACATAGGTCAGTTTCTTTAAAGCATCCTTGGTGATGCAGACCATCCGTTCAGCCATACTGTTGGTGGAAGGGTAGAAAGGCGCGGAGGTGGCATGATGAATCATGTTGGCCTGTAAGAAAGCTTGGAATTCGGAAGAAGAGAATTGAGGGCCATTGTCAAACACCAAAACATCCGGAAGCCCATGTGCAGCAAAAATCCCTCTCAGTACTTGAATAGTCTTTGCAGTGGTGGTGGAAGAGACAGGTACAACCTCAAGCCATTTTGAATAGCTATCAACCAGGACCAAGAAGAATTGACCCTGAAAGGGCCCAACGTAATCGATGTGCACTCTAGACCATGGAGACTGTGTTTCCTCCCATCTATGCACAGGGGCCTGAGGCATTTCTGGGCGTGAGCACTGACAAAGGTGACATGCGTGCACCTTAGCCTCAATTTCCTTGTCTAACCCAGGCCACCACAAATGGCTGCGTGCAAGCGCCTTCATTCGTACAATGCCAGGATGGCCCTCATGAAGGGAATCTAAGACCCTAGACCTCATTGAGGTAGGAATGACAACTTTGCTGCCCCACAGCAGACAACCCTGAAAAGTGGACAGCCTCTTAAGCCAGAAACTCTGAAATTCAGCGCCTGGACAACTCTCTGGCCATCCAGACAGAAGCCAAGATAAGACACAAGAGAGTGTGAGAACTGTGGCTGATTCAGCAGCCACATCCCTGGCATTTAAAGGTGACTCAGGCAGCGCCTGAATGGAAAGGATGTTGATGGCAGGGGCAAGATCAGCCTCTACTACTTGCAAGGGTAATCTACTGAGGCCATCAGCATGACCCATTTCCTTGCCAGGTTTGTGAATTAAAGAAAAGTCATAGGCTGATAGAAAGATTGACCATCTGAGCATCCTGGGGGAGATGATATGGGGAGTCTGTTTGTTTGTTGTAAACAACCCCAACAAAGGCTTATGGTCAGTGTAGACCGTGAAATCATGGAATTTTTTAATTCCAGCAACAACAGCTAAGGCCTCCCTGTCTATCTGGGCGTAGTTTCGTTCAGCAGAAGACAAGGTTCTAGAGTAATACGCAACAGGAACCTGAGTTCCATCTGGTCTGAGGTGGCTGAGTACTGCTCCCACTCCATAAGGAGAAGCATCACAAGCGATGCACACAGGAAGAGTTTCATTAAAATGTGAAAGCACATTGTTGGATGTGAGTAAGGCCTTAACCTCATTGAAGCTTGCTTCATGTGCTTGTGACCACTGCCACACTGCCTGTTTGTCCAGAAGCCTATGAAGTGGTTCAGCTACATTAGCCTTCTCAGGAATGAATGAATTATAGAAAGTCAAGAGGCCCAGGAAAGCTTGCAGTTCAGCTTTGGACTTAGGCCTAGGAGTTTGCATGATAGCTTTTAACTTGGACTCAGCAGGATGAATCCCATTGGCATCAATTTTGAATCCCAGAAAATCTGTAGAGGGCACCCCAATTTTACATTTGTCCTTTTTAAGCTTGAGTCCTGTTTTCCGGAACCACAGCAGGACAGCCCTCAATCTCCAAATTGTAGTCTTTTGACTTTGAATGCCCCCCTGTGAGTTACAATGGTTTGTGCTACATCAGCAGCTTCATCAACAGGTAACTGTTGATAAGCCTGTGCTAAGTCAAGCTTTGCAAAAACATGCCCCCCCTTGAGGGAAGCCAGAATATGGATGACTACAGGTACAGGATAGGCATGTTGTTGCAATGCCTTATTTAGAGTGCATTTGTAATCTGCACAGATGCGAATGTCCCCATTAGCCTTAAGAGGCGTGACTATGGGAGTTTCCCAAGGACTGGAGTCAACAGGTTCTAAGATTCCTTGCTGGATTAATTTTTCCAGTTCAGCATCAATTTTCCCTTTTAAAGCAAAAGGTACCCTTCTTGCTTTTACTCTGATAGGAGTGACAGTGGGGTCCAATTTTAAGGAGACTGGAGGCCCTTTGTATGTGCCCAGCTGTGGGCTGAAAACATCTGCAAATTCTTTGCAGACTTCCTGTAGATCTACTGTTTGAAAGCTATTGAGCCCTGTAACTTGTATTCCCAAGGCCTCAAACCAATCGAGTCCTATGAGACTCATGCGCTCACCCCCCACTATCAATACATCTAATGGACCTTCAAAATCCTTATACAGTATGTTAAGGGTGGCCTCCCCCTTAACACACACCTTGGAATTTTGAAAGTCTGTTAGCACTATGTTAGAAGGCCTAAGCTTGGCCTGGAAACCACTACCAGAACAAATCTTTCTAAATGTGTGAATGGAAATGATTGAAAGTGCAGACCCAGTGTCTAGTTCCATGACCAATGGAATTCCTTGCAACTTCACCTTAAGTGACAGTTTCTTTTTGAGTGGCTTGTGTGTGCCTGTCCTATAAATGCTTCTTTGTGAAGCACAGAAACCCACCCTGTTTTGGCTGGGGACCCTGGTACCTTTCAGGTGCAATTCTTCTTGGGGTTGTACCTTCTGATGGCCCAGACACACACCTGCTATGTGGCCTTGCTTTCCACATGCTCTACAGATTGCAGAACGGAACCTGCAGTCGGTCCTCTTGTGGCGACCTTCACACCCAAAGCACTTGGGTACGGCTGAAGACTTTCCTTTGCCTTCCTTCTGCTTCCCTTCTTTGGTTGGGTAGAGATGATCTACTTCTTCATCAGGTTCCTCTTCCGAGCTTCCTTGGACTCCCTCATGGTGCACAGAAACAGATTCTGGAGTACTTCTGATAGGCCTCATATTCTTGATTGCCCCACCTGCTGCCTCTTCTGCAGTAACCTCTCTCAAGGCATCTTGGAACGATATGTCTTCTTTAGCAAAAAGTCTCTGCTGCAAATCTCTGTTTCTCAGCCCACATAGAAATCTGTCTCTCGGTCTTTCCTCTAAGTCTTTAAACTCACAAGGCTTAGCTGCTCTTCTCAATGCAGCAATGTACTCTTTAGCTGATTCACCAGCCCGTTGATCCCTCTGTTCAAAAGTGTGTCTCCAAGCAATAACAGACAACTTGGGCTGAAAATATTTTTTTAGTAATTTCTTTAAATCTGTGTAGGTAACAGATTCAAGAGGTGCAGGAGCTACTAAATTTTCAGCAATTTCAAATGCATCTTGACCACAAACACACAGCAGGGTGGCGGCCTTTAAGCCATCTTCTCTCACTTGATTTACTCTGAAATAATTTTCTGCTCTGGCCACATAAGACTCCCATCTTTCTGGATGTGTAACATCAAACTCAGAAAGTTTTCCTATCTTTGCCATTTTTATAGTAGTGCAGGAAGGGTCTATCAGCCAGCTTACCTCCAACGATGCTGTATTGGCAGGCAGTTGCTGAGTTTAACGCCGTTTCCTCACTGTTTCAGGACTCCAGGGTAAGCTTACAATTTCTTCAATTAATTGTAAGGCATCCCACCTTCGTCGCCAATGTTGAGTCCTCAGTTAATGGCAATGACTTCACGAAGCATCTCGTAGTTTCAGGAGCTCTTTATTTGTTGTTCTGTAGCCCCGTTATAACTCTGAGGTATGCAAACCTCTCTGCCTCTCTTAAAGACAATCCCTGGGCCAAAAAAGCAACATTTAGGCACGCTGCGCGCCTCGCGCATGTGCACGAGCGCCGGCGCCAGCCAGTCTGGTCCCGGGCAGCTTGCAACTGCCCGGGACTGTTGCAACGTCCCAAGCCTGCCTTTGCAGGCTCGGGACACAACACCCTTATTATTTTCATGAAGAGATTTTGTCTGGTGGAGCACCTTGAAAATCTTCTGTCCTTGATTAGTTCATGGATGAGGGGAGTCTTATTACAGATCAACCTTGTATTAAGAAGCACTAGGAGACCAGAATCAGTATAATTCTGATGACCAGACTTCACAACTGAGTGAAGAGGATGGTCTCAGAATTAACCCTCCACAAGAATAGCCTGACTAACATGTCTTCCACCATGTCTCCCTAACCCAGCACCTGTGTTTACCAGTATCTGAGCTAGCTATCCCCAGCCAATACATTTGAAAGTCCTCTGTTACAACTTGAGGAATTTCCAATTAGGACATGGGCCTTGTGCTTCAATTCTCCATTGTAATCACCTGATTTTATCAGTATTTGATGCTATAGTTTGAACTAATCTTCTGGACATGCCATGAAATGAAAATTGAACATACATACAAATTTATTGGATCAATGATCAGAACAATAAAACAACTTAACAGCAAAATTACATTACAATAATATAGCATATTAAAACCAATTTAAAACCATATGTAAAATTCTAACAACAAGGCATGTAACGTAACTTACCCTGGGCATATTTATTCTTCATTACTGCAGGTATAATTTTGTAGTAATTTTTTTGCATGCTTTAATAGTTGTGACACAAAATTGTGATGTTAGGCTTATTGGCTGATACAAGAAAAAACATAACTAATCTTCCTGGCATATGTTTCAACAAGAAGAAATGACAGATTGATAGCTACCTTGATTATATGAGGAGTGCAACAAAACCTGTTGGGTTGTTTCTATCCAATTTTAATTGCATGGACCAGATCTTCTGGAAAAAGGAATTTTGATTAATCTAAACTCTATCTTCATCATCTACAGTCTGTGGTTGCTAAGAGTCAATAACAATTTAATGCCACACTACTGACGAATAACTGTTGTAGGTAAAATATCATGTCTGTCTTCAAAAAAAAGGCTTATGCTGAGCAGACGGGTTATAAGGTTGGTTCAATATTTGCTTGGTTCCTATCTAAAGTATCCTAAGTGTCCCCTGATATGACATTAAATTAAATTAAATTCATTCTGTTGTTCACTGTCAAGTAATCTGGTCTTAATTGTTTGAAAGGCCTGTTTATATTCTAAGATCAGTTTGAACAAAGTCCTGATTTCAAAGACAGAAGAATGATAAGCCACTAAAATATAAAATCTGTATGAACAAGGACTTCAGAATCTCTGAATCCGATGGGAATTCACTGGGAGGCATTTTGTAAGCCTGGAATTATGGTTACTAAAGCCAGGTGCTAAATTCATGATTCAAGCTAAAATAAATGTTAAACTGGAAGCTCCATGATTCACAGAAAACCCTTACTGCCATTACATTTCATTTGGTCAATTCCGATGCCAACAGCTGCCTATGGAGAGGGAGAGAGAGAGAGGGAGAGGGAGAGACAGAGAGGGGAAGAGGGAGAGAGAAGATATATAAGATGGACATAGATATATAGATGATAGAGATAGAGGTAAGAGAGAGAGAAAAGATATGTAGGTTTAGACATAGATATATAGCTATGTAGATATATAGATGAGAGATGAGAGAGAGATTCTGCCTCTGTTACTGAAAGGAATCATCTTGGAATCAGCCATTGAAATTTTGACCTCCCACAAATTTGTCTAATCCCATTATATTAGAAATACCTGGTATACTTAGTAAAAGTGAATCCAATAGTTGAAATATATCTAAAGAAGATATTTGTTGAGCCAAACCTCAAATTCCTATTATTCGGTTTCTTCAAATTTCCACAGATGTGCTGTGAACAAGTGAGACATGTCATCATGTCTTCTTTTTTCAACTATTCATAAAAAGCAACTTCATGTCCTTTTTTACACTTCATTTAAGCCAACCCATCATATGTAGATATATTCTAGCTGCTTAATAATTTTGTCTATCATTTTTCTTGGAGTATGTTTTTTTTATTGGTAAATCTTTCCACAAAATACATCAATATTTCAGCCTATTTGGAAGAGAAAAAACCCTCCAAATGCAAAGGTGGGGGAAAAGTTGTAACCTCATCAATTTATTAATATATTTATTAATTTGGTTCCCTAATTGCATTCAGACTCATTAAACAATTCCCAGTCTGTGGTAGTTTGAAGATAATGTCACAGTTGTACAAAAGATATCACAGTTGTTATTGGCAAATATTATGTGCACACATATGTGTGTATAATGTGTGCATGTGTGTGTATATATCTCTCTCTGTGTGTGTGTGTGTCTATGTGTGTATACATATATATGTAAACTCCATTGCATTCAGAGCAGTTTAGGATTACAGCCTTGTGGAAATAGATGCTATCTAAAAAGAGAGATCAAAACCTGCATTTTCAGCCACTGCTGAGAGATTATTATCATCAACAATACTATAATAGAATAGCCTGTTTATAAAAATAAAATCAGAGAATGAAAGGTTGGGGAAAAATTATAAAAGAAAAGGCTGATTTTCATACTCAGAGATCAAATTATGCCTTAATGTAGGCATGCAGTATGAATGTCAAGCTGTATTGCACTCAATTAATAGGTTTTAATTTCTTGCAAGATGAATAGTGCTAAATACAGTTTCCTACTGAGAAGATGATATAATGGACAGTTCTTTCCCATACATACTATCAATTACAGATGCATATATTTCTTTTATGAGAAGAAAATTGCCATCTGGGCCATCTATTCTATATCTGAACCCTCTTACACAAGGAAAAAAATCAGCTCCAAATGACAAAACATTAGGAATTGTTTAACTT